ATGCAATTTCAGTAGAATGTAACACTACAGGAGGGGAAAAAAACACCAATAAGCCTCTGCTAAGCTTAAACAGTGCGATCCAGGGGAAAGGGAGTGAGATTGTGTGTTTAAAGGTAATCGTTTGACACTCGGGTTATACTGAAGGAGGAAAAAAAAAAAATAAGACAGAAACATTCCCATGCACTAAACACAAGACCTAGAGTTCAAAGTCAACATTGCAGCCACTCAGTTGAACCTCTTCACAAACCGGACTGGGATGACAAGTATGACCCTTCAATACATACGTATATACTTACTGAAGCATTAAATACCAATGAAAAAAGAAGGGTGCCAAAGGAATTTTTCAGTATAATTTTCTTCCTGTGGCTTTTCTCCACCTGAAAGTCTGCTTGGCAAAATACGAAAGCGTGCCAGCAAGCGAAATAACACATTGCCTTCGGGCTGAGGCTCAGAAGCTGCCTTTAGCAGTCAGTTTCAGAAGACCAGACAGAAGCAGTGGACTCAGGGGCTCTGAGCACCTACCGATCCCTTTTATGAGCTGGCAATTCGGGAGGGCTACAGGGTCAACTTCTCGTGTAGCATTGAGTCTGTTCCTGCAAGAGGAAAGAGCAGGTTAACAGGTTAACACGCAGCTGCTGCCGAGCAGGTAATGCTCCTGGCTGTCTCTGCTTTATTGCCTGCCATAACTCAGCAACGAATCAAACACTGAACAAGCAAAACCCAGAACTGGCAATGGTGCCCCAAACAGCCGGAATGGTTACGTGCTTCCCGAGATGAAGCTTTCGTGATTTCATGCCACCCACCCCAGTTAAAATACAGCCACGCTCTCTTCAGGTTTCAGCCATTAAGTATAGCAGCACCCTGCAGCCAGGACCAGCACTGTGGGTGGGAAAGGGCAGCCTCCCACCCCAGCCCACAGCCATTCCCAGTGTGCCTGCACTTCTCCATTTATCATTCTGCATTAAAAAGCAGCAGCAGTGTTATTGCAAGGCACGACTGCTGACATCCTAACAACAAGCAAAACTTGGCAGTACAGCTTTCAGGATTAATTTCCCTGTCCCTTCTCCTTTTCTTTCACCCACAGCACTCCCTGTCAGCCATTCTGATTTCATGGTATCATGACATCAGTTAGGTTGGAAAAGACCTCTAAGATCACCTACTCCAACCACCAGCCCACGCCACCATGCCCACTGACCACATCCCTCAGTGCCACATTTACATCATTCCCGAAGACCTCCAAGGACAGTGACACCTACCTCCCTTGGCACCTTATGCCAGTCCCTACACCACTCTTTCCGAGATGAAGTTATTCCTAATATGCAGCCTGAACCTCTACTGGCACAGTTTATGGCCTCTCCAGTACGCCTGCGGATCCCCAGGTCATGCTTCACAGGATGAGGCACTGACAGACAGGCACTTAAACAGATTTCTGTCTCTTCCTCTCCACCACTGCACTACATCTACGTTAATACATGAAAAGCCCCTCACCACCAGGACTGCTGTCTTTCACCATGGTAGCATGCAGTGTCATAAGCATGCATGTTGAGTTCCTATGTAAAAATGTCAAACCGGTGTCCTAGATTTTATTTGCAAAAAAGAAAGCTTTTAAACTAACATTTACTCTTCCTTTGCATACGGTCTGTGCACACATGTTAATACTGTGCTCCACGTACAGGAAATTCCGAATGCAAAGATCTCATGGCAAAATCTATCCACATTTATATCATCGGTAGGTTGCTCTGAAAGTAATGCCTCCTATTTATTTTCATGGAAGCTACAACAGATTCAAAGAGCACAATAACACTATTTGATAGAACATGTTCTCAGCTACATAACTGTCAACACAGTCACCACCGCTAGCTCTGCATTTTCATCAGCAATGAACAAGAGCCTGCATACTCATAAACATCTGCACCAGCAGCAGTGACCCACTGTACCACAGCCACTGTGGTGGTGTCACTGCTAGGAAAATGTTGCCCACACAGTCCATCTTTCTCTGGCCCAGACAGACAGAAGTCAGAAGGCACCAGAACCAGACCATATGGTGCATGTGGTAGGACAGTCCTGCCAAGACTGGCAATGTCTTCAAATTGAAACGGCGCATGGTGTTACTGCATTACAGGAGAATGATTGTTTTTTCTCTGGCCAGACTCTAGAAATTGGAGCCTTTAGCTTAGTCAGCATCACAATGCAGCGGTCAGAGCTGATGGTTTTCCAGGTTCCATGAAATCCAGAAGGATCGCCCCTTTCCTACCTCGAAAGAGAGTGCACATCATTTTAACCATCGAGGGCTGCAGCTTGAGCATTTTCTTTGATGGGAAATTCACATGTCGGCACTCCATGGCACACTTTTTGACTCCAGCTCATAGTGGCTCACATCTCATCACTAGTAATGATGTGATCCAGAAAACTGTCACTTTTAGCCTTGTATTGGCTCAACAGATCCTGACAAACTTATGTGTTCTTTCTGTTCCTATGTGAGAATTCATGGGACCCACCTAGCACAAACTTTGGGATATTCCAACACTTGCACCAGCATTTCCAAAGCACTGAAACTAATATTTGGCTCCATATACTGTTCCTTGGTTGTCAGCTGATTCATGTGGATGAGATGACCAAGACAGTCTTCATTTTGTGGTGTGACAGCCATGCATGGCTGTCCGGAATGTGGCTTGTCTTCCATGTTGCTGTTACCACTGCTGAAAGGCACCACCAAACACCTCACTGTGCTCACATTCACTGCTGGGGCTCCATAAACGCTCACCAAGTGTCAGTGAATATCAGTGGGTGCCATTCCTTCTGCATGGAAGAAGTCAGTGTCACACCTTTACTTCATACACACTCCCACGTCAGACACCATTGTGTCAGACTGCCCCTGTGCTGCCATCCGTCACACGGCGAGAACATGTAACAGCGTATTGGTGGGAAGGTTCAACCTCAGCTGCCAGACCACCAACATCCACCTCTGATGCCATGAGCCAATATAATGAAATAGGAAGCATCGCTGTCAGAACTGCCCTCATTAGTTGTTCCCATCAGGCCAGGAGAAAGGACAAATAGGGCAGAGGAGTGCAAGGGAAAGGAGCCAAGAAAAGCTCTTGCAGGAGCTCTCCCAGCACCCAGGGGGGATCTCAGTCCCCAGCACAGCAAGACCCCAGCTCAGGGCAATCATGTCCTGTATTCATGCTGCTGCTTTCTTGGGATTTCTGCCTTCCCTGTTGCAGGAGCCCTTCCCCAGTGGCCTGCAACCCTCGCAGTGCCAAAAGCACAGCGGGAACGCAGCCAGCAGCCGAGGGGAGATGATGATATCCCGACGGCATTCCCAGGGAAACACTTTGTGAACTGGAATGAGAGTAATTCGAAAGGACACTGGTCACAAGCCTGCAGCATACACAGAGGCTTTTTCAAAATGTGTCAGTTTATCTAGCTCACGCAGCCTCAGCTACCGAGCCAGATGGCCTAGATAGCTGACCGGCCTTCCAAAAACATGTCGGACCCACAGATCAGGGGACACAGCTTCAGGAAAACAGGAGTTTGCCTCTTGGTGCAGCCCGGCGCCTGGCACCTCTCCTTGCTCCAGCTCCAGCCCCCCGCCTCCCGACCCACTTTGAGGCACACAGCAGCAATCCCTCTCCTGAGCAGCGACCCGTCACATATTCAAAGCCCTCTCTTTCACTATTCCCTTTCTCTAGGCTAAGCAGCCCAAGAACTTTCCTTCCTACCTGACAGGACTGAAAATCCCCTCTAATTGTTGGGTTTGCTCCCAGTTCCCTCCAAACTGTCTGAGTCTTTCTGGCAGCGCGCTGCTGCTTCAGCACAGAGGCTGGGGTGTACACGGTACTGAGTGTCATGGCATGATAACACTGTGTGTGCATGCCAGTGAATAACAGATATCCATTACATACATACTGTTTCTGTATACACGTAGGAACACGGTGTGCGTATATGAACAAGTTACATATATTCTTCTGAGGAAAACAGTAACCCAGCACAACCCAGCTCAACTCCTGTTCAACTTTTACAAATTTGATCAGAGCTTTCTCTGGGGAACAGTTAGCAGCTGCAGCGTGTCGGCAAGAGAATCTGTGTAACTTTAGACAGAAGCACACAGTAACTTCTTTTTCTGCCACAGGAACTTTACTCAAGGCCTATTAGGGAGATAATAGCTGTATAAACAAACCTGATTTAAGAATGAGGTCTGTAGGATCTGTAGCAATTCCTCAAGCCTGATCTTTGAAGCACTTCAGGGACTCCTGTACCATTTCACAATATACCAAACTCAACGAGCAGCAGAAGGCTGTGCTGGGTTCCTGCCTTCCAGCCAGGTGGTCCCAGGGATACCAGTAGCTCCCTGGTGGCCCTACAGATACTGCTGAGAGCTCAGCGTGCAGGAAACCCACCCGCAGGCGTCGGGGGATCCTGTTTTTAGTGGGAGACCTGCCTCTACCTGACTGCCAGCAGCTGCAGGGGTTGCAGACCTGTCAGGAGCTGGATGCACATCCTTCAGCATTTGGATCCTAATCATAATGATGCACCGGCGTGCAACGAAGTACTTCAGCACCCAGGTGAACTCGTTTCAGCGCTGGTGCTCAGAGGGCACAGCTAGCTTCCAACTTGGGGTGCACCTCACAAGCACGCGGCCTATCAGCCAGAGCTCGGCCTCAGCAGGACTCAGCGCAGCAGCTGCTCGCAGCCCCGATTCCCACGTCCCGTTCGGCCAACGGGCAGTCCGCACACCCCGAGGCGGCGGACCCCTCGCGGGCACGCGGCACGCGGCGGCGCCCCGCGCCCCGGCTGCGCTCCCGCCGTTCCCGCCGCGCTCACCGGAACGCCAGCAGCCGCTCCGCCGCCAGCGCCGCCGCTATCCCGACCAGAGCCGCCGCCAGCACCTTCCCCATGGCCGCTCCCGGCTCCGTGCTGCCCGCCGCCTCCCGCCCCGCCCCGGGCCGCGCCGCACGGGGGCGGGGAGCGCGCAGCTCCCGCGGGGACGACGCGGCCAACTGCGGGGGCAGCCCTCCGTCGGGTCCACGTGCCAGTACGCGAGCGCCGAGCTCGAAGTTTCCCTCACGTCGAGGGACGTGTTTTCTAACGTACAGGTAGGACAGCAAGAGCTGCAGACCAAGTGTGGCTGTGCTGGGTCGGACCCCGGGCTGTTCAGCGGCAACGCGTGTACACAGAGGGTTAAGGAAGAGTCAGAAAATGAGGGGCAAGTTGAGTACTTCCCCTCAGTCACTGTCAGCTCAGTTTGAACAGCCTTAACTGTTCAGTAACAATAGGTGTCTTTCAAGTAGTCCTCTTTTGAAGCAAGTGGTGGTTTTAATTTATCATGCTCTTTGCTGATAGAACACCACCTAGACACCCTGTATGGGTGGGAAAACAGCTACTTTTAGGCAGTAATTCGTCTGAAATGCACCTAAAACACATAACCAGTCTTCTCTAAAGATTAGCTTTTACCCTGCATTCATTAGACAAGGAGACTTCAGGAACCAACTCAAGCTCAGAAATCCCCAACAGCACCCTGTGGGCTGGCCGAGCAGCTGCAGCATTGCCAGAAACCCTGCTGCTCTTGCTCTGTCGCCATTTCCTCCAAGCTCATTGCCTTCAGGGCAGGCAGGAGAGGCCTGGGAGTAATCTCCCATGTGATGTAGTGGGTGAAATCAGGAATTATCTGTGTGCGCGTAACCAGGTGCTGGGTTTATGTCAAGGGAAAAATACTAGTGGAGAGAGAGAGAGCAGAGCAGGGTGGTGGGATGAGTTTTACACTGATTGAGCAGTTTGGAGAGACAAACGAAACAAGGAAAAAAGAGTAAGCATGTAAGCATGTCCAGGGGGATTCATTCCATCTGGAGCACAATGGTAAGTCAGGTGAGCAGTATCCTGGGATGGCGGTCTTTCTCCGCTCATGGTAGATGGATGTCGGCCAGCCTGATGAGAAGACGAAAGGGAGCGCTTATATGACTAGGGGGAAAGGGAGTAGTTTCTACTGAAACTTTGGGAGTCCTAAGTATGTCATATGGGGAAGGTATGCCCTTTATGCCTGCTATCACATATCAGCTTATATTTTAATAGATAAGATATAGAAGCAGTGCCCAAACAAATTTGGATTTCGCAACAGACTATTTCCAAATGTATCATGTTTGAATCATTAATGAAACACAATCTGTTGCTGAACTGACTTTAAAAAAGCTGAAACTCTGACCCAGATTTTGGTCTCTCACATGCCAATGTTAACCTGAAGTAAATTCACTGATATCAGTGTTGCCAAAGTAGTTAGAATGGATTTACACTTGAGAATAAAGTTCAGAATGATTCTAGAGCACTTGAGTGGAGGCTGATCTGGCTGAGTCATTTCCTATACTGTGCTCAGTTTTGGGCCCCTCAGTACAAGAAAGTCATGAAGGCCCTGCAGTGTGCCCAGAGCAACAGAGCTGTGAGGGGTCTGGAGCACAAGCCTTAGGGAGAGCGACTGAGGGAGCTGGGATTGTTCAGTCTGGACAAGAGGAGGCTCAGGGCAGACCTTATCGCTCTCTGTACCTGCCTGAAAGGAGGTTGTGGCGAGATGGGGGTTGATCTCTTCTCCCACATAACTAGTGATAGGATGAGAGGGAATGGCCTCAAGTAGAGTCAAGGGAGGTTTACTTTGGATATTAGGAAAAATTTATTCTCCAAAGGAGTGGTGAGGCACTGGGAATAGGCTGCCCAGGGAGACGGTGGAGTCGCCATTCCTGGAGGTGTTCAAGGAACGTTAGGATGTTGTACTGAGGGGCATGGTTTAGTGGGGAGATAATGGTGGTAGGTGGAAGGTTGGACTGGATGATCTTGGAGGTCTTCTCTAACTTTGGTGATTCTATGATTCTAACTAGACACACCACAAATAACTAGTAATTTGGAAGGCTATTCAGGATGATGTCTTACTGTTACGTTGAAAATGCTTGCAAAATTTTTAGGAATACATCATTTTTGTGCTCAAGATAGGGAAGGCACTGAGGGCACACCTAATCTTCAGGCAGAAACAAGTCAGACAGTGGTCACCCTTCAAGAGTTGCTTCACCAATACTAAACCAAATTCAAAGGAGGCCCTGTGGGTACGAAGACAAGGCAGGGCAGCCAGAAACCAACTTTGGTGCTGCTACAGCTTAACTGTAGAAACAAAGAGATGTCAGTACAGAGTGGAAAGTCTCAAAGAGAGACTGCTGAGATCTTAAACGAAACTCATCAGTTTTGCTGAATTCAGATCTGTGGACTGGGTTAATGAGAACACATCCATCAGATTGCTGCTGACATGCAGGTGCTGCACCAGCTTCAGGTAAAAATAAAACTTGGCAAGCAAGCAAAAAGGTTACCACAAGACCGGGCAGAAAGCACTAGCAAAGCCTTTGGCTTGAGTACTAAAAGATAAAGGTGAGGGAAAGAGTTTCAAAAGTTGCCTCACACAAAAATTACAAAAAATCTTTGCAAAGGCTGTGGCTTAATACAGTTTTAACCCTGTTAGTTGACTGAAGGGAAATTGCAGATTGCTTACTCAAATTTCTTAAGCTCTGCATTCCTTGGTTCTGCCAGAGCTAAAAAAAGGTCCAGCCTTCTGCTCGGCTGCCCATTGAGGAGCAGGGAGCAGAGATCCTTACGGCTGTTTTGAGCAGCTGCCATAGAGCAAGGCAAAGTCTCTGCTCACACCTCACCACTGTATGTAAATACAGTGTCACCAAACAGTTAGAAAACCGGAATTTATGATAATAACCTAATGAACAGATGGTGTCCCAAGGGTTCAAGTATACAGATTCTTAGTGCCTTTTGCAAAGAAGGTAAAAACATTCCTGTAAGTGAGACCAAGGTGTATCAATTTTCTCAACTGTTGAGAAAAATCCATGTCAAAATGACATCAGTGGGTTTGCTGGTTGTTGAAAAGGCTTTTGTAGGAACAGTCTGGTTTTCAACCTTGTCCTAGTTTGAGAAGAGCAGAGTCAAGGTCTGTACCTGGCATTTGTGGAGCTCACCACAGACTCCAGCGCTGTCAGCCACGAGCAGCCCAGAGGCAGCTGCATAAATTTGGATGTCCAAACAAGTTTGGGAACATATTTTGCTTATTTCATGATAGTGTGGGGTAATGCAAAGGTTCTCAGTGATGACAAGACGTCAAAACCTGTGACTGTCAAAAACAGCCCTAAGCAAGGCTATGTCCTAGCACAGCTCTTGTTTACTGTCTTTTATGCAGCAGTGCTTCTTGCTGCATCTGGAAGCAGCAGCAAAGGGAGCTGCTTTACTGATTTTATGGGTGGCAGAATTGCTAAACTGGAGAGATGCCAGGCTAAATAAAAAGTCAGAGAGGTCCTCCCAGGCAATCTGCCCTTTGCTGCTGACAGAACACTGGGTGTGCAGAATATTACTGATGGCTTTGATCGTGCTGCCATGGTTCAGCCTTATTGCAAGCATAAAGCAAATAGTGCTGTCTTTTTCCAGGCAGAAGTGTGCTGAGCTAGTAGCATGCCTTGCAATACAGAGCTGATGTCTTGCAGGTGAATCCTGCTGTCTTGGCTGCAAACTGCCTCGAGCATCAGAACTGATGACAGTCATGCAAAGGAGGGAGAGGGTCATGCAGCTTTTGAAAGATTAAAGCAGTGTTGGAAATGCAGGAGGCTCTTGACTTCAAATACAAGTAAAGGTGAGCTGGGTTCCTGTCATCATCACTACTCTGCACACCAAGGGTCTCAGACAACACAAAACTATTGCAGTGAAGGTATCATACCATTCTGTGTGCACTACTTTCAGGCTCTTGAAGATAAGTCAGGATGAATTCCTGAACACTGAGATTCAAAGCACTGCCACATATTAACCACTGCTGAAGTCTCTTGCATGCTTACTATGCTGGTGTGAGCACTGGTGCAAGCATCAGACAAAGCGTGGCGTAAAGCTGAGTTCTGTGATAGGAGAAGAGGTATGGATAATCCAACACAACCTCACCAGACACCTGATGTCGATTTTCAGTTGAGTTAGTTTCAGGAGGCAGGAAGCTCACTGCTGTCTGTTGTAGTACTGCATGTACAGATGATGAACTGATGCCATCACAGTCCCTCACTGAAGTGGAACAACCCAGTGACACAGAAAAGGAACAAGAGGGAAATGCCTAATTAAGCATTATTCCTCTGCTACCACTGCTTACTTACGCACTGCAAACAACAGGAACGTTTCTCAGGAAAGAAAATGCAAATGTTGAATTTTCAGGATATAATATCTCAGTAAAAAGAATGAGATTTAGAAATTCAACAGCTTTTAAAAAAATACCACAACAGAAAGAAAAAAAAGGAAATAGCCTTGACTCATGAATACTGTGACAATCAAGACTGTACACAATGTGCTGATATTTTGAGCTAAGATGAATGCTCTTTGGTCAAGAGTTTTAATATGCGCAGATCATTTATAAAATGTTCTTAAACTCTATTGGCACCATGAAGCATAAATAAATGGAAATGTAGGCGAAACATAGTGCTGCTCATTTCTTCATGAACTATGATTGCTACACCTGGTTCCTCCCTTTCTGGACGGTCCCATGTGTTTACCGAAGCCTACTTTCAGATCTACATCAATGTTAATCCAGTGTAACACCACAAAGATTGATTTAACCTTATCTCACAGTTCCAAGCCCTGGGTGTTCTTGTATTACTGGAGTTGCTTCAGATGCATGAGTGTAGATGTCTAAGCTATACTGCCAGTAAGTATGGAAGAGGCAGACAATTGTTGTGATACCTATAAATACAAGACAGTATGCCTATTTATTGATATTCTCTTACTTTTTAGCTCTAAGAATACTTTCATTCAGATATAGTGGCATATGGATACATACAGATACGTACTGTTGTAATGGCAAAATATACATATAAAGATATAATTCATGTGGATTCATGAGCTCTTTTACTCTTCTTTAAGCATAAACTGTGAAGAGATAATGTGAAAAGGAATCTAGGATCCTATCCAAAACTTGCTGCAATCTCTGAGTTGCTACATCATAGCCTCTTGTCTGCAAATCTGTGCCAAGGAGCAAAGAACGCGGCCTTGGTAGATCCAGGGCGTTTGCATAGTCCAAAAACACCCATTATGCTCTCTGCTTTTCTGGAGGACGTGAAGTATGAGTGACAGGTTGAGAAGGCATCAAATGGGATGCCAGATGTGAACTTTGACTCTGCTCTCGACCTAATTCAGTTCAAGAGCAAGTGGTACATGAATTCCATCAGGCTATGATAGACCTTATAGTAAAGAAGCTTTTATTTTGTGTTATTTTATTAAATGTTCTAAAAATCAACTACTGTAGCTAATATTGATGGAAGTGCTGCATTTGAAAAACATCTGTAATTTACTTTTCAAAGAATTTTGGCAGTGTTTTTATAGGACTTGTGTTTATATTACATTTGTATCTGGAATTCCTAGTAATAAAATCCCTGTGCTGTTCTGCTAAGTTCTGCACATGAAGAGAAAAAACAAACAACTGTTAAAACATTAGTGAGTTTTAAGAACTACATCTCTAGAAAAACTATTATCAAGTTGTGCATCATCTATGTCTAGTAAAAATTTCCAGCTGAAGTTCTTTCTTGCGATATGAGGGAAGCAGAATCTGCTGTTTGAAAAATAGAAGGTTAGTTCTGTTTTCCCACACAGTCTCCTTTGTTTGTAGAGCTGGCAAGAGCCAGTTTCTGCAGGTAAAAAAGCTTAACCAAAATAGAGATATTATATTCTTCTAATCTTTGTATCAATCAACTTTTTGCACATACATAGTTATGCTGAGTGCAGCTTGTTTAGATTACTATTAACCTCACAAGAGTTGTTACTGCTATTAAGTCTTTCCCTGTTAGACAGGGTGCTTTCACAGTTGGCTTGCCTTTCCAGATTCAACCATTGAGGCTACCAGGTTGCTGTTTCCATTTACTCTATGCATAGAAGAGCATGCTACAGACATGGGAGGTTGTGGAATATTTGTTTCTGTGCCATTACCTACTCTCCTATGCAGACTCTCTTGGATTATACATGCTTCTGCCTTAGCTTTAGTGCTCATCACTCATATTTAATTGCATGTGGCCCTTACAAGGTACCACTAATTTAGTTTACTCATTAACAGTCCAGATAATGTATTATTTGCTTATTCTTCTGGTGTACTCTCACATAGTTTCTCCCAGACCCTAAAGGTTAATACATTGTAGAAGCTTATCTGCACAGGATTTGTGCAGGTTAGGACAGCCCTGCTATAGTACCTCAGATCTCCTAACACAGATACTTGGTTGCGATGTATCTGAACTTCAGGCAGAAGAGAAAACTGTCCATTATGTAGTCTGAATTTTAGACAGAATAAAACCAACTCTGGTGGTGAAGATAGCTCTCCTGATTAATTGGTGTAAGGAATTTACTCAGGTGACATAGATCTTTCCCATTTAGCCAGTAATGCCACTGATGCGAATTAGAAGGAGCCAAGATGACAGCCAGAGCCTCAGGCTGATGTGGGCAAATTCCAGCACCACCTGTGAAGGTGTGAAGATCAGAGAAAACCCATATCCTGGCTGAAGATGAGACCTTTCTCTTTCATCACCCAAAGGGCCCCTGTGACTGTTCTTACGTCACTGTGAGGTCACCGTGGGGTTTGTGCTCCTCAGGGACCAGAGGCCTGGCAGCCCATGCCACACCATCGCTTTGGCCAGGAGTAGAGCACCTGGCAGGCAGCGGGGCAGGCCCAGCGCTGGACACGGGGCACTGCTCTGGGACAGGCAGGGACATGGGCCTGCCGTGGGTCCCATTGGAGGGGCGTTTGGCAGCATAGGGCTGTGGGGAGCTGGAGTCCAATTCTGCTGTGGTCTCACTGGGCAGAGCTGACAGCACCAGGGCTGACGTGGGGTCCTGTGCCTGGGTGGATAGGGATGCCTCAAGGGAGAAGGACAGATAGGGCTATTGGTGCCCTCAGGGCCCTGGCATACATTTGATATCAGATTCTGCAGCAAAGATATCCTTTTCAGGAATAGGTTGTTTTCAGCTTGCCTTATACTTCGTGGAAGAAAATTAATATTATTAATTATTATGGATCCAAGTTGAAGGAGGGAAGATTTAGGTTGGATGTTAGGGGGAAGTTCTATACAAGGAGAGTGGTTAGGCCCTGGAACGGGCTGCCCAGGGAGGTTGTGGATGCCCCGTCCTTGGATGTGTTTAAGGCCAGGTTGGACGGGGTCCTGGGCAACCTGATCTGAATGTGTGTGTTTGGTGGCCCTGCTAGGCAGGGGGGTTGGAACTACATGATCCTTGAGGTCCCTTCCAACCCGGGTGATTCTGTAATAATCCCAGAATATGTCTTATCTGTTTTCACAATTTCAGACAGGTGAAGTTGCATCCTATAGACATCTCCACAACCTCCCAGAAGGTGATGTGACAAATACAAGAGTCAGATGACTACATGGTAGATATTTGGGCAATGGAGGGAAAAAACTTTCCTGTCTGATAAGAGCATTGTTCTGCTGCATAAGCCTCCTTATGTTTTATCAAGGTCACAGAAGTCTGATGGCAAAAAATGAATTTCTGCATCTTCTTCTGCCTACATACCATTGCCTCAGAAACATTCCCACTGCCTCTCCCAGTGGGAAAAATCTTACAGCAGCCTCATGAGGAGAGGATAGAGTGGTTCACAGGCTCCTTCATACTGTTATTCTTTGGGAGAAGATACATCTCAAGCAGGAATATAAACAACACTTCAAGTTACTGTTTCTCAAAGGGAAGTACATTACTGACAAGATTAAGGCTGTGACTGGGTGATAAGTGGGTTGATATTGTTAATGGGTGGTTATAAAGTGCTTTCTTGAAATAGAAGGTTGTCCTCCAAGTGCTTTTCAATTTTAGATAGCTTTAGATGCAATTCACCAAACCTCTGACATGACTATTATATTGATACTAAAAGGCACCAGACTCCCAAGGCTTTTGGTACTTCAGAACCCTTTCTAGATTATTGTGCTCTGTTGATGAGAGAAATCACAGAAACTGCAGCATTTTGTCTTTCTGGTTCTCACATAACTATTGAAAAGGAAGGGCCAAAGTCATAACCTTTGTTTTAAACTCAATCCAATCTCTTACTGACTCAATTGGTTAGAAAAAGACAGAACATAAGAATAAAAAAATAGTTAAATGAGGGCTTGGCCAGCAGAAAGAAAATAAAAGCAAAGCAAAAATAAAGCCTACATCCTATTCCTAGACAAGGCTGCTGAGAAAATTGTGATTGGTCACTATGGCAACAGATTTCTAAATGGAAATAAAATTCTTTTAATATTGCAAGCACATTTTGCTATGCAGGTCTAGTTAATGCATTCAGACCTCATTAAAGTGAATTTAATTTTGCAATAGGCATTCCATATAATGTTATGGACAGCAACACATGAAGGATCAAAATATAAATGGTTCTAAGATGTGGATGGTTTTACCATGTTAGTGCTTCAAACAATCAGATGCAAATGGTAACAGTTATTTTCTTTCCTCGGGAAATCTTTTAATAACTGGTGCAAATCAAGGGAACTTAAAGGAGAAATATTTACTTTTGTTTTCCTGGCTTTCATATTAATGGACTCAAGATGGATCAACATATTTGGATATTTTTGTGCAATAGAAGAATTTGTTCATACAGCCTCCACTGATGGCCAGTGGCGT